ATGGCCTAGTAAATTGGTGAAAACTGGAAATTTCAGAACTAAAGGCATTTCTAATTTGACTCTATAACTTCTCACAAAATCAGGCAGAGTTTTACATTAGAGGATCATTGCTGAATACAGTGGCAGAATACACATCTGAGATCTTAAAAGCAGTGGTGCACACATGATCTGTGAAAATGTGACAGATGAAACCCGTTTGAAAACTAAAACAAAAAAAAATGACCTATAACCATCAAAGATTGTTGTTAAAATGTTAAGCTTCGAGTGTCAGAGAATGCTCTTACTTAAAGCGGCACTGTCATGCCGAACTTACCTTTCCTCAATCTCTTCCTCTTCTCCCCCTCTCTCGGGATCTGTTATTCTTTTCTTCCTGTCTTCTTTAGTTTTCTTTAAAATCATAAGACAAAGTAGGGACTCTTTGCCTTATGGAGGATTCCTCCGCTTGACCACCTCTGACCAGCGGAGGAGCAAAGTGTGCTTCATTTCTGCTGGTCAGAGCAATTTTCCCATGATCCCTAGCTTTCCTCTGTGATCTCGCGATGCTTCCTGTCATTTTAGCTAAAACTGCCGAATTGCGTTCTAACTGAATGAGAACAGTATGTTCGTTTCTTTTAGAACGCAATTCGGCACTTTGTTTGTGTCGGAATTTCATTCTAATGAATGAAACTCCGATCCTATTCATTGCCGCGGCTGCATCTTGCAGCCGCTTAGTAGATAACTCCCTAATTCCCGCGGTATCAGGGAGCTATCTACTAAAAGGCTGAAAGACCTAAATTGGTCTTTCAGCCACATTTACTAATACTAAGTAAAGATTACTTAGTACTAGTAAATAATATGCCCCTACTCGCTATATCGCGAGTAGGGGCATGTGTAGTAAGCAGTGAGCAGCTTATAGCTGCTCACTGTAAAAAAAACAAAAAACTAATAACGCCCCCACCCCCCCGCCAGTGGGGGCCCTAAATAAAGATGGGGGGGGCCTACTGTCCTCCCCCCCTGCGCGGTGGGTGGGGGCCCTAAATGAAACACCTCCCCCCCCACAATCAAGGTGACTAGGGGTCCCAAGCCCCTAGTCACCACCCCCACCCAAAAATAAACTATCCCTTACCTTCCCCCCTCACCCGAAAAATAGTGAGGGGGGAATAAAATAACTAACCTGTAAAAATAAAAAAAAAATTAAACTTACCATTTGACGTCTTCTTTTTTCAGCCCCCAAAAAGGCCAAATAAAAATCCATCATCATCTTTTAAAAAAAAAAAAAAAAGAGCGCAAAAAACAATTATTCCATGTTTGCCCTTCCAGGGCACGCCGCTTATAAAGCCTTGCCTTCCCTGCATTAGGGAAGTTTTCTGATTGGTGGTTTGCCAATCAGAGCTTGTGTATTTTTGCACAGCGTGGAAAGTTCTTTAGAATTTTCCCACGCTGTGTAAAATGACACAGAGCACTCTGATTGGCTTAAACCCACCAATCAGAGTGTTCTAAGTTTACGGGGCAAGGTTTATAAGCCTTGACCCGCCCTACGGAGCTCAGTAGGGCGTGCCCCTGAAGGGCGAACATGGATTCATTTTTTTTTGTTTTTTTTTTTTTATAGTGCGATGGGTATAATGGATTTTTATTTGGCCTTTTTGGGGGTTGAAGAAAGAAGATTTTAGAAAAAAGAAGACATCAAATGGTAAGTTTAATTTTTTTTTTTTTTTACAGGTTAGTTATTTTATTCCCCCCCTCACTATTTGTAGGGTGAGGGGGGTAGGTAGGGGATAGGTTTTTTTGGGTGGTGGGGGTGACTAGGGGCTTGGGACCCCTAGTCACCTTGATTGGGGGGGGGTTTAATTTAGGGCCCCCACCTACCGCTCAGGGATGGGGGTCAGGGGGGGAGGACAGTAGGTTCCCCCCCCCTTATTGTTTTATTAGGGCCCCCACCCACCGCGCAGGGGTGGGGGCCAGGGGGGGGGAGGACAGTAGGTCCCCCCCCCTTATTGTTTTATAAGGGCCCCCACCCACCGTTCACGGGTGGTGGCCGGGGGGGAGGACAGTAGGTGTGTCCCTCCCCCTCATTATCTTCATGGCCCCCACCCGCCGCTGGGGGAGGGGGGGAGGACAATAGGTCCGCCCCCCCCCCTTATTGTAATTCATGTAAAAAAAAATTTCAACAGTGAGCAGCCACAGGCTGCTCACTGTTTAGTAGACATGCCCCTACTCGCGGTATAGCGAGTAGGGGCATTTGGGAGATTATAATCTCCCTTGTGCTATTATGGGGGTCATATTTACCCCCCATAGTGAGAGGAGGGCCTGGGGGGGCTTATGAAGTGGCGGGGAGCACTGCTCCCTGCCGCTTCTATCTTTACATATTACAAGGAGGGAGCTGCGTGCCGGTAGCTCCCTCCTTGTAATAACCTGCACGAACAAACATACACTGATACACAATGTTTGTTTGTTCGGCTGACATTTCTATTCACTCATTCGTCTGTCTGATGAATGAATCAATGAATGAATAGATGAAATTCCCGTTCGCATGTCCAGGTCGTTTCACTGGGCATGTGCGGGAATCTCACAGGCTATCTAGTGTGGGCTGATGACGTGTCCCACAGGGACTTCACCTACCCACACAAAGATGGCGGCGCCCTGAATATAGATCGGGGCCGAAAATAAAGATTTAAAAAGAGGTAATCTGGGGGGCTTAGGGGTATTTGGGGGTGACTAGTTGGTCAATTGGATGTAGTGGAGGGGGGTTAAAAAACAAAAAACGGGATTCGGCATGACAGTGCCGCTTTAAATACCTTGAAGGATATCTATAAATGTATGGTGTTGTTTTTTTTTTTTTGTTTTTTTTATTTATTATGTAACTGCTATTTAATTTATAGTCTCCGCAAACTTTTGACATGGTAGCTTTAAAACTTTAAAAATCAATTTCTAGCAATATTTCCCAGATAAGTTTCTGCTATGGTCACTGCTCAATTTTCTGAAACTGTTAAAGACTAAAAAAAAAAATCTTGACTGTGAATAAGCCTTTTTCCTGGTAATATTACTTATTTGCTATATATTATGTGACAATGGTAGAATCATTAGGGTGAATAATGAGAAACAAGAGGAGGCAGAAAGGTGGATTTTTATACATAAGAAAATTATGCACCAAAAAAAAAAAAAAAAAGAGTATGGAATATCTTCTTCTGCAATGATGAATATTTTTATATTTAGAAGTCTAAAATCATTGCATCCATGTACCCTGAAGACATACTTTGGCCTCAAATTTAAAAATTACTTTAAATTTGCACTTTAAAATAAAGAGGATGCAATTTTCAAGTAAAAGAAATATATATTGCGGTCTCTAGGGGGCACAGCAGGGAAAAAGATGTTTATTTGGACTTAACTTGTTCATATAGTTGGTTGTAATTTTATATAGCGCCAACAAAGTCCGCAGCACTCTAGAATGGGTGGAAGTTGCTTTACTTTTCATGTACGGCCCGATAGAATTCCTTTGAATTCTGAAAACGGAAATATATTTTAACTATCATTTTATCTTCGTAAGATTTTTTTAAAATAACGTCATTCTTACTAATGTTCTGCTTTAATGCAAATTCTCCTCATATGTAAAACGCTATAGTGTCAGGAATACAAACTCTGGCACCCCTTAAATTGCAATAAAAAGGTGATTTTACTCACGCTTTGCCAATCTCTTTGCGTCTGGCCTCTCCTCCATAGCGGAGATAATTTGTTTTGCTGCACATATGTAAGGGCACCCAACGCATCAATCGTTTCCTTGTCTACCTCGGTTACTTCACATCATGAAGGGATAGCAGCATGTGCAGAGAGAAGCACAAGTTGCTGCTGCTCACTGTACATTACTACCAGGTATGGTGATAAATAGGGAGAAGTCGAGAAGTGTGAATGAGCAAAACCGTATCATTGACTATGCATGCAAGTAAATAGGATAGAGTAGTTACCTTGAGTGCTAGAGGCAATGTATCAGGAACTGACTTGAAGAACTTTGCTATCTAGATTTCTCCTTTGTCGAATGACAAACGAATGCAAAAGCTAGAACATGCAGTCCAAGTCAAGTGATGTGTACATTTGGTTCATATGGCATAAGGGAAAAAAAAAAAAAAAAAAGCCATCAAAACCCTCTTCACTAGACAACTTACGCTTTTTGTTCATGACAAGGGCTAAGTCCAGGAGGTTGTGATATTTACATCACATTCTTAATGCAAATTCTTTTAACAAAACTTAATTCAGAAGTTAAACTTTCAAGCCAGTTTCCCCATACACTCATACTGTTTAATAGTTAACGGACTGCAGGGTGAATGAATGATGCAGAGTAAAGTCCACCTCTGCCACAGTTTCCTGGAGCAGTACATGGTCTGTTAAAGGACCACTGTAGTGCCAGGAAACCAAACTTGTTTTCCTTGGCACTATAGGGTCTTTGGGTCCCACCACTCTCGCCAGGCTGAGGAAGGGGTTAAACACTTACCTTTCGAGCGCCGGGCAACTCTCCTCCCTCTTCCAAAGTCAGTGCTGAATGCTCCCGCATTCAGTCAGTCCATAGGAAAGCATTTCTCAATGGACGTCAGCATCTTCTCACTGATTTTCACAGTAATAAGCACCTCTAGCGGCAGTCACTGAGAGCCACTAGAGGCTGCATTAACCCAATTGTAAACAGCAGTTTCTCTGAAACTGCTATGTTTCCAGCTGCAGTGTTAACCCTAGATGGACCTGGCACCCAGACCACTTAATTGAGCTGAAGTGATCTGAATGCCTATAGTAGTCTTTTAAAGTAGAATGTCAAATGCATCTCCTGATGTCTGCATTTTTTTAGTAATGTGTACAGATACGTAAACTTCCTGTGGCTATTGTACTGCAACTCCCATGTAACCAAGCACTCTGCTGCATGGTAGCAGTCAATCAATAGGTCTTCTGTGACTGCTTTTGTCTAGATCAGATATCTGTAGTTTGAGATTTGTAAATTCTGATTTAATAACTTTTCCATACAAAAAGATGAATATCAAAGTCAACCACACACTTTAATCAGTTTCAATTTACCAAGAGGATACAAAAATACAGTATAAACTTTGTTTGGTACAAAATTCCAGCAGTCAGCAGCAGGATCAGAAACAAGGAAAAAAAAAAAATATATAAAGTGTAAAGTGACAAGAGTGAGGTATAGATTGAGCTGTTCACACAAAGACCTTCTCACAAATCAGTATTCTAGACCAGGTATATTTTAAAACCTTATCTCCTTGATACAAGGCAGGCATGAAACATTAAGTTTGTGTTGACACTCAGTTGAAGTCTAGGTGGGAAATAATCAATTATTGCATTCATTCCAGGTTAAATGTTAACTATGTGCAATTCCGTAATCCTTTTCCAGTAGGATCTAAGGAAAGGTAGTTTAACAGGTAGACATCTATAGAACAGTCATTTGACTATACTAGTTACAATAATTAACTTAAATATTTCAAAACTTCATTTCTGCACCAGGGCTATCTAGTGGTTATTTTGTCTGGGCAGTAGGAAGTCAGCTAACTAAATCCAGCTAAGCATTCTACAACCATACTGTGCGAGTCAATATTAAAGTACTAAATACCAAAGATCCAGACTATGCTATGGATGTGGAGAAGCAATCTGTGGAACCATGAATTCATAAATCACCTGAAGTAGAACACACAGCCCCATTTCCTGTGTGCTCTACAAGATAAACAGTCTTTAAAGTAGTCTCACATGTGCATACAATACATATTTTTCCTTCCCCATACCCAAAAAAAAAGTGTGCAAATGTGCAAGGCAGTAAGTCTGCCCAATGTCCTTTAGCGTCCTTTCAGTTTTGCCAGCCTACACATGAGCGTTTTGTGTCGAGCTCGGAGTCTTGCCTTTTCATTCACAAGTCTTTGCTCCTCTGTGATCAGACCTTTCAGATATTCAGTAGCCTTGCCAAGAACCACTACTTTGGAGCTTTTGGATGAGTGAGACAGACCTGGCACCTTTTCTCTCAGTTCTGCAAAACGAGAACGTAGATCATTCCGCCTTTTGCGCTCCATATAGTTGTGATTCTTTCGTTTTGCGATATCCTCACTATCAGAACTTCCAGAAGCAGGAGAGCTGGGTGTAGGTGGACTGCAGGGCTGAACAGAGAAGCAGCTCACCTCACCAGGCTCTTCTTTAGTAGGGCTGTGTGGAGGAGACACTGGACTTTGCTCAGGAGGACGGGCAGCATAGTTGTGCTGCTGCTGATGGATGGAAATATGGAAAAGTTTTGTTGTAGTGTCCAGTGGATCTGCTCGCACGGTGATAGTCACTGGCTGCCTTCCACCATAGGATTTCCTCTTCTCCACAGTTACTACATCAATCTCATCGTCATCTATAAAAAAAATTAGAAATCGTTGAGTATATTTTTAATCTTTATAGGAGATGCTGAAATGCATCAATGTGATGCAAGATGCACTTTACTACATGTTTAAAATAAAACCATTTGGTACCATAGTTCCCACACCCACCTAACAGGAAGGGACAAGCTAGCAGGAAACCAAGTGGACATTTTTGCAGTCTCACTGGAGTAAGAGGCAGTGTTATTATATTTAGCATTTGTGCAGTTTCAGGATATGCTTATTTGCATGTTGCAATAGCATATTACTTTATTTATGCATAACTGGGAATACAGTAGGCATTTGAATGGTTCCATACATCTCTTGCATTCTGGATGTGGTCAACACATAAGTGATGCAACACTGTATGTAGAGTACTGCCTCAAGCATTGCATTTACTAAATAATGCAAAGTAAATTTTGGTAAAGCACATTAATGAAAGCTGCTGCTTGTCCTCTACATTCAGGACTGCAGTGAATTTGATTGTCTGACAAGTATGTTCTACCAGCATCTTTGTCACAATGCAACATAACCACTACAGAGTGCTAGGAGTCACATGTTTCATCCCGGACACTTAAAGGGACACTATAGTCACCAGAACAACTACAGCTTATTGAATTTGTTCTGGTGAGTAGAATCATTACCTTCATGCCTTTTGCTGTAAACACTTTTTGTTTCAGAGAAAATGCAGTGTTTACATTACAGCCTAGTGATAACTTCACATGTCTGTTAAAGATCCTTCCTGGGTCACGGCTGCCTAAAATGCATCAAAATAGTGTCTCCTCCCTCTGAATGCAGACACTGAACTTTCCTCAGAGATTCAATTCATCTTTATGAGGAGATGCTGATTGGCCAGGGCTGTGTTTGAATTGTGCTGGCTCTGCCCCTGATCTGCCTCTTTGTCAGTCTTGGCCAATCCTATGGGAAAGCACTGTGATTGGAACAGGCTCCCACTTCTGCTGATGTCAGCAGGCAGGTCTAAAGGAAACATGAACAAAATAAGCAGCTGCAGACTTGAATTTTACTACATTTAGGGAGGCATGAGGGGACCAGGGTGGCTAGATGGTGGTTTTAACCCTACAGGGTCAGGAATACATGTTTGTGTTCCTGACCATATAGTGCTCCTTTAAGAGATTACAGCCACAGATGTCCCAACTCTGTACGGAAAATGAATTCTATCCCAACACAACGTTGTAACAAAAATTGATAAGTTAGATTAGAATTTTCCCTCTTTGGATATATCAAAAAGAGGGATACACTGGTTACAGTTCAGAAGTTTACTATGTACAATGGGACTCTTCCATCGTAACAGTGAGCATAGTGGTTATGGTGCCATCTAAGGTTTGTAGTAAGAGTGAATAGTTAATTGTCGTTTTGCAATACATGCTTTTGTATTGGTCTCTACATTTTAAATGGGCCAGGCATTCAAAAAAGCACATGTGACAAGGTCATGTTAAAGCCAGTGCAGGTTTTTAAACAGACTACATTTGTCATTTTGGAATGGAGGGAGACTGCAAAATGAGCCTTCCTGATGCAAAGGAATGAATGTGTGCGCCCTATAGGTATGCATATGACGTCAAGAATAAATCAGTGGGCACACCATATGGGTCTATTGTTTTTGCCTTTACAATCTATATTACAGTCATTGTATCTATAGAACACAATACTGATTATTTACCCTCAATTTAAAGTGAGTGAACACATCCCATAGTTTGTAAGTTCTATAACCAGGCAATCATTAAAAACACTGCCATAAAATATCCTCTTGCCATTAACTGCTGTCATTGTCACACATTCTTACTATACAATATCACAAAGACATTGGAAAAGGGTTATCCCTCCACTAGGCACTGCAGTGAAATAGTTAAGGATACAAAGATCTGGCAGCAGGAGCATTGTACAGGAGCCAGTGTAAAACCGGGTGTGGTATGGGGGGGGGGGGGATGGATGTCTGTATTCAAAACAAAGGGACAAAGTGAAAAGGGCTCCATGTGAATAGGATCATTTCCCCCATTAATAAATCCTAGTCACCCACCCTGAAACAGTCCAATTGGCTCAGTGCTCACATTTCAAACACCAGGTTTGCTCAGATTGGCTGGAAGCAGTTTGACCCTGACTGCAAGCTGTTGCTTTTTGTCTGGCCATGTGGCAACAGCGTGCAGCTGTAAGCTCTTAAACACTGAGCAGCTTCTGTGCTGGAGGAGGGAGTCTAGTATACATAATGCAACACTTCATCTTACTGAGACCCGCTTTAAGTGCCAACCCACTTTCCAAGAATACACAATGCACACACCATTGTTAATACTTGGCTGCAGCCCCCTGGTTATATCAGGACATGGTCCAAGTGCTTCATTGATAAACTTAATACCATATCCAATGGCAAGAGCCCCATGTTCAAGATAGCAAGGCTTAAAGTTAGAAGCAGTGGTAGGAAATTTATAGTTGGGAAAACATTACCAGCTGTTTAGTCAAAGTATACACACTATAAAGCAATACAAGGTGACAAATGTGCAGCATTATCCAAATCCATATGGCTACAGACTGGTTACAACTATGACAAATGCAGTCCACAAAACTAGTATTGGCATCTATTTCACACCAAACAAGTTCCTGCAGGACCTTAATTGACCCCTTTTAAAGAGACTGATAATACATTTGTTAACCACGAATATTACTGTTCCCACCCAAAGAGCTTTCATAACAGAGTCAGGAGTATTAGCACAATATGTGGGCTTCCCAGTGTAATTAGAACAATAAACAGTGTGCTTACACTAGATAAAGAAGCACAGGTTCTATAGAGAAGATAGAATTATTTTATACTACTTGGGAATAAGGAAACCTGAGGGAGGGCCTGATGGGATTAAGTTTTAGTTGTGTTTGTTACTGGTTTTCCATCAATTTTTTAAAAAACAAATTATATCATGACCCGTTACTACATTGAGTTTTCCCCCATAAGGTTTCTTCATGGTTATACATTGACATGTAAAGTTACGGTGTAATATTGAAACTTCATTTTTCTCACAGTACACAGAATAGATGTCCTGCCAGAATGAAGTTAGACACCTACACCTGCTAAGAGCACTAGGTGTGTACCAAGTTCAGGTATAAACATGTTACAAAGCTGAGTACTGTACCACACACACACTATAGTATGTATGAAGGAAGAGGGAGAAATATTGGTACGCGTTTCAGCATAAAAGCATACTATACGCAAAACTTGGGTTTTAATTTACGATTAGACCTATAGTATATAGACCCAAGTTCCCCCTAAATTTATAGCATGCTCCTCCAGCTGTTTGAGATTCTCACTCAATTACCTCTTCTTTCCCTTTATATTTTTTACCAATAGCTGCAACTCTTTCAACTTTTTAGCCATTACCTCAAAAGTTCCCCTGCTACCTCTTGTCTTAAATCCTCACTTTATTCTTGATACTGTAAGCTCATGGGCTATATAGCTAAGCACTTTGTATAAAATAGCTAGATATTGGCTTACAGGCAGGGTCCTCTCTACCTTTTGTATTTATCTATATTGTACAACGCTGTGGAATATGTTGGAGCTTTATGAATACCAGTAATAAAGCTTGTATGTTCTACTATGCAATATAACTTAAGTCTGTACCATTGTCCTCATTTAGAGGAGTACAAAAGTGCTATTGATGTAGGAGTGATCTTACCAGAGTCACTGGTGCTTTCTGACCCAGAAGAATTTTGGACTTTTTCCGGAACTGGTGTAGGTACAAGAGGCTGTGGTGCTGTGGCCTGTTCCAGTGCATCAAATCCAGTCTCCAGTGGTTCAATATCTGGAACTTGTTTGGAACCACAAGCAGTCCATGAATTTCCAGTTGATAGTCTCTCGTTTATTACCTTTTCCAGGCGCTCCCGAGTAGAGAATCCACTCCACATACAGTCTCTTAGAAGGACTACAGAGCTGAGGCCAGACAGTTTCACAGGAGATTCCAATCCCAAATCCATAAGATCTGCTCCAAAGTCTGTACCAATTCCACCCAAGCATCCTCCAGCTGACGGCGAGCAACTAGGCAAAAGCTCAAACTTCTTCCAGATGTCCTCACTGGGAGCAATGCATCTGTAAAAGTCCTCCTTCAGGTCCACATCGTAGAAATAGTGAGTGCTGTAGGAGCCAAGATCCATTGTCCTATAAAACATCAACAGTAACCATACAGGAAGGGCAGCAACAGCACAAGAGATTCTATTTCAAATTAGAACCCTGGCAGAAGGAAAGACAGGATTTAAAGGGGGTATGATTAAAGGGAGACAGACACCAGCGTTGGTGGACGGGGAGCCCAGGCACCCCCAGCAAAGGAAGGTGACAGTATGGGGTCTTTAGTGAGGTGATGATATGCACGTGGGGGACAAAGCAAACTTTGTTTCCCACATATGTGAAGACGTCTAAAAGGAGTAGGGCGCTGCTGATCCCTGCCATATGGAATTACAGCTGAAATGCTTACAACCCACAAAATTGCATCTCATACATAGCATCCTGGGTATAAAGAAAGGCATAGCCGGCGCTCACTGGAAGTATATAAATGGCCTTAGCTAACAGACTTCCCGCATGTATGTCCCTGTGTTTTCCTTCATTCTCATGTCCGAGCCCCAGTGCTCAGACAGTGTGAGCACATTGCAGCCCCCCATGCCGTTTGAGTCTCCTTTACCTCAGTGAATCGCTCCTCGCTCTCCGCACACGGCGAGTCTGGCCGCATTCATTGTTCCCGCACATGTTTATACCAGCTATTGGCTCCCCTCCCCCCCCGTGGGCGAGCCGTGGGAAGCACCTTCCATAGGGGCGGCGGCTGTGATATAACCGTGTGTGTACTGACACCTTCACTAAAGGGTTGCTGGGGCTTTGTCAATTACTTAACATTGGATTTATTTCTTGTCAGCTCGATGTCTGTATTATGGCAGCTTATGGAGAGTCCTAGCTCTAGCTAATAAACATGCACCATCATAACAATCATATGTAATACACTATTTTTAGCTGGCTCACAGAAATGTCAATTGAAAACAAAATTGCCAATTTGTGACTATCAGGGCTATTCACTAATGCCAAATGATAGTGAAATAAAACCTGGACTATTTAAGGTAATATAGGAAAGCTGTGACACTAGCTAGATCATTTTCTCTGATCAGCTGTCTTTGCATGAAATTTGACATTTGTATTTTAATTAGCTTTAATTTAGAACTTTGTGGAAGACCCCATATAGCACAGATGGGGAATTTTCCATATCAACATTATTTTTATTTTATTTTTTAGGTGCAATTTGCTTTTCAATTCACGTTTTTTTTAATAACCCCCTGAATAAAGTGTGAATTGGCAGGAATTCAAAAAGAACTTTATATTTTTGATTGAATTGAGTGAACTGACAATTTAGCTGGCTTGAAAAAAAATCTTTGTTTTGACCTAATGTTTGAAATGTGCTATTAATTCCTAAACATGCACACTTTATTGATAAATGTGGTATTTGTGGCATATTTACATATTGATTAAAGATTTGAGCATCAAGATAATTGTAAAAATAGCAAAACTGGGAAAATTCTCCTGCAATATGTTTCCCCCATATTATCTAATATGGCTACAATTAATTACTTAGTCTCCACAATTTCCAGTTAAAGGACCACTATAGGCACCCAGACCACTTCAGCTTAATGAAGTGGTCTGGGTGCCAGGTCCATGTAGGATTAACCCTGCATCTGTCTGCTATGTTTACTTTAGGGTTAATCCAGCCTCTAGTGTCTCATTGACAGCCGCTAGTGGCGCTTCTCACTGTGATTTTCACAGTGAGAAGACGCCAGCATCCATAGGAAAGCATTGAGAATGCTTTCCTATGGACTGGCTGAATGCGCGCACGGCTCATGCCGCGCATGCGCATTCAGCCGATGACGGCGCTATGGAGGAGGAGAGTTCTCCGCCCGGCGCTGGAAATAGAGGTAAATTTAACCCCTTCTACCTCCTAGAGCCTGGCGGGTGGGGGGGACCTAGAGACTCGTTTTCCTGGCACTATAGTGGTCCTTTAAATATATACACCTTTATGATCTATTTCTGTAAATATATCAAAGGGGTGCTAAATAATCAAAACAAAGAACAACCAATTCCAACCTAACTGTACTGGTGTATGTGCCTCCTCCTATAAAATAGAATTTCTAGTTGCTAGAAGAAGCTTATGCCAGTTTTACAGCACTGAAAGGGTGAATAACAATTAAAAAAAAAAAAAAAAAGGCTGCAGAGGTTTAGCTCTATTGGTTATAGTGCATGGTGTGTTCCTTCAAAGTCAAAATATTGTATGCAATAATCCACTTTGTATATAGTCCATGATTTGCACCTTCCTGACTAATTCTTTCTAAATTTTCATATGCAGTGCCAGAATGCATTACAATATAAAAGGACAACCAGAAACATAAGAAAGAGTTGACCTGCACTCTTAATATGGAATTGGACCTGTGAGTATCGTCACATATGGACGCACACATATTGAATGTCTACCATCAGTATGAAGTTAAGTTTCTCTTGGATAATCATTTCATCTATTAGAAGTTGGAAGGCAGGGATTTACTGTTTTTGACTAGTGTGCATGACACCAGAGCAAAAACCTCAGAGGATGCTCTCATGTTACGAATTAAAGTAATTGAAATGGTCTTGGTGCAGTGTCTCTGTTCCCCTTACTCCTGCAATGTAAAACATTGCCTTTTTTCCAAAAAAACTGCAGTGTTTACATTGAAGTACTAAGACAGCCTCTACCAGACAGCCACTAGAGATGCTTTGTGGAGTGGAGTTTACCAGACTATGAGTCCCTTAAACTATGCTGGACGTCCTCACGGTGCAGCATCCTTGAAATCCTCAGAGGAAAGCATTGATGCAATTCTTTCCTATGGGGAGGGCCTAATGCACTTACTAAGCATGCGCATTAGGTCTGTCCCATCAGATAACGTTGGAAGATTATGTTTATTAATAACACATGGGTTACAGCAAATTGACGTTTCAGTTCATGATAGGACTTTCATCAGGATAACCCCATAGCTTCAAACACCATCTTAAAATAGCAAAAAAGTGTGGGAAACTTGTAAAGGTGAAGTACCCTCCCCCTTGATAGCGAGTGTCCAACTCAGAGTTTAACATGCTCATATTTTGAAATTGGAGTTCTAAGCCACACAGTGGTTGTGGTGTATAACCGTTTAGGTGAGCAGACCCTTTTCTTTTTTCAATCTCTTTGTGATTTATAAGTTCTTCTGTGATTCTTTATCATTTAACATGGGCTGGATATATTGAATTTTTGGTTGCTAAGTGAGGAAACAGGGTACTTTCCTGAAATACCTACCTTTATTGAGAAATAATCAAAAGGTTACTAGCATTCTGTTTATACAGCTCTGGGATATATGGATCACAGTGCTCTTATTATTGTGTGCAATTAGTACTAATATATTATGTATATAAATTGTCCTAAATGTATATATATCATTCAAGTGTCCCTTTTAGTTTCACCAAGGGTGCAATGATAAGATTCACATATGTTTCACAATTTTTCTTGTTTAATATTTATCTAATGTATCTTATACACTATGATGCATGGATTGTATGTAGTTGTATTCATATTCACATGAAACACACTATTTAGTGGTTAAGTTAAGTTTTGTGGTCCACATGTGGCTCATCAATCTACAGTTCGCACTGTTTAGTCTGGATCTTTGATCACAGGTATTACCTTTGTCTAGGGGGAGGGTACTTCACCTTTACAAGTTTCCTGCACTTTTTTTGCTATTTAAAGATGGTGTTTGGAACTATGGGGTTATCCTGATGAAAGTTTTATGATGGACTGAAACGTCGATTTGTTGTAACCCGTGTGTTATTAATAAAGACGAATACATTTCTTCAAAAAGCCCAGCGTGTGCCTTTCATTGTGGAGATTTATGTTGATTTGGGTGAAAGAGCATTGTGGCACTTATACTACAAATGTAGGATCGTGGATTATATATATATCAACATGAGGGGTTGCTCTGATAATTTCCTTTCCTTCTCAACACCTAACAACTATAACTTAGCAAATGCAAGGTACTAAGCATTGCCCATATATCCTCATCTATTCATTCAAATAGTCATCCTTAAAGGAATCCTTCCCTTCTCTGAGCCAGCGCCAAGGGACATCGGCGCTGGACCCAGGAAAGTGACTGATGGGGTTATTAACCCCTTAAGCGCCGCGGGAGGTGGCCTTGACAGAGGGGAAATCCATAGTGCCAGGCAAACAAGTTAGTTAGTTTCCCTTTAAGCTGTAATTGTTCTGGTGACTACAGTGTCCTTTTAAAATATAAATCTGATTCAACTAAAAAGAGAAAAATTTACTAGAAAAAAAACGAATTGGCTGAAACACAGTGAATTTATACCCCTGCACTGTAGTCCCAGTATGATTGGCTGGCAAATTTAAACCCCCTGTGTGTCATTAGTCTGAATTAAATTAGTTAATGTGATTGACCCTCAAACTAAGGGATGGGGAAGCAGCCACAGACTCACCCATAATATTAAGCCTTGTGCTGCTACTCATTGTGTGAGGAAATATAGTAGATCACAGTGCAAGGCTTCTCCTGAAAGGTGACACTGTGACTCAGTCATTCTTCATTTTATCTTGTTTCCTGCTGGTGCAGCTAAGTGACATCTTATTTGGTTAGTTTGGGATTAATTTAAAAATCAATCTGGACTTCCCTCCAGAGCAGTTTCTAAGCAAGGCCTTCAAATGTCAGGGTTTGTTTGACAGCATTTAAGACCTGCTTCAAGTGAATTCAGATAGTTTCCACTTCACAGCATGGCGTGCTATTTAAAATTTCCTCAAATATTTCACATTTTCTGTTTGGATGAAGCATCTAAAGTTTAGTAAATAATCCCAAATAATTTTTTTAAAGAAACCTCTTATTTATATTTTTCCAGGGTGGCAATAGTTCCAATATCACCCATTTATTCACCAAGTGGTGAATTGTGGTGATCTGAAAATAGAATTGTAAATTGGCTCAAAGTATTTTTCTAGTTTATTTTTATTTTGGTTTGCTTTTAATTTTTTGATACTTAGTGTTAGCCCAATGCAGAGCGCTTTGTAACACTTTGACCTATAATACAAGTGTGTATATCACAAATATAAGAATGTTTATCAGTATTCATTACTTTTTCTTTCCATTTTTGCATTAGCCTACTACAGTACTTACAAAGTCATGTGTAGCAAATTGGCTAGTTGTATAAATCTATACTGGTTTCTAAGACAAATCACAATAGGCTGGTACCCAAGCTGTCCTCATAAAGAACAACAGATTCCTCCACTAAACAGGACAGCTGTTCCTTCCCTTCCCCCCACAGAGCATATCCCTTTGAACATTCTACCCCCACCTCCAAATTCTCATCAAACAACAAAGGGTTAATGTCACTTAAGTTTTCACACAAAGCCCAGACTAACCCTGGGGGGGTTGGGTTGTGGGCAGGGGGATTAACATTTTGATAATTGTATCAACTGATCCTATTTCTTACATGTGCAAGGTGAGTGGATTAACATTAAAATGTTTGCCTTAATGAAAACTGTGCACAACAGGTCTACATTTTAAATTTAAAGGATGGGGGGAAAATGTAGTGTTGGGCAACTGGTGAGACAAAGCACATGGCAGGAGACTTTGCAATTTGTTGTAGGTGACCTGCCTAGACAGAGTGAATTGAGATACAATAATGCAGTAAGTGTGCCCCTGCACATAGAATCTTACAATCTAGCGTTACAATATGTCTTTTAAAATGTCTTTTACATAGCTGTCAACTTTATCATGTCACATGAGTGCTCTGAACAGTATTGTTTCATTGTTTTATAATGTGAAAAAAAAACACGGGGGAGGGGCATGTAATAAGAAATTATGATAAGTAAATACTGCCCACATGGCTGTTACAATAGCATCACAATAGCAGATCCTACATACAGGTTTGGAGATTATAGTAGAATAAGCAATACTGACCCACCCCCCATATAGCTAGTAAAATGCTTTTATTCAGAATGATTACAGTTATTTATAAAGCACCAACATATTCCAGAGTGCTGTACAATAGGAAACAAGACAAATATTTAATTCTAACTAAACATGAATGACATATTGAATTGGAGAGCTGACCCATTCAGTCTAGTGTTTAAATTAAAACTTTTTCACAAAATATCCAATTGCTTCAATAGCTAATTGGGGGAGGGGGTAATCTCTACAATAGTCTGTAGTCACACAGTTTGAATAATCTAGCCTGAATTTTGCAATTTGATATATCCAGTTCACAACATTTTGGTGTTTAGTGAATAAACCCGTTAGTCTGCTGGATAATGAATGATTTGAAAGCTCGTTTGAGCAGGACCCTCTTCACATTTGTCAACATTACTTGTATGTCAATACTTTGTTACTTTTTATCCTCTCTGGATAGTTTTACATAATTGGAATATATTGTCACTATATAGTGCTAATAATGATAATGGAGTCGATGTGAGTGATATTTTTAATACCAGACATAGTTGTCCTGATCTCATTTTGCCATTAATTGAATTACTTGTTTTTTACTGGCACATCTTAGTCACTCTTGTGTTTATTTTGTTCTTTAATTGAGCACCGTGTGTGTACGTATGTACATGTATAGAAATGTCTGCTGTGTTGTAATTGTGTTCCTTATGCCACAGCAATGCTTCTATGCACATTGCCCATTTTTTCCTATTATTATTGTTATTACCCGGCACGCCTGCTTAACAATGATGCGCTAGACTCTTTGTGTGTGAACACAATGGGTGGTGTCTGTAGCAGGGGTGGGAAGTCAAGAAGGGTCGGACATTTATTATTGTTGTTGTTGATGGTGGGTGTAAAATGTTCTACGATGAATATTTGCTGTTCGTTTTTTTTTTTTGTTTGTTTTTTGTGATTTTTTTTTTTACATTTATTTTCTTTTTTAGAAAATACATTTTCTGTTGCTAGTATGGCTATTGCACTGAATTTACATATTTAAGTGGATTGTACATTTAGTGGATCCAAACTCAGAAACACAACCACAGAGTTGTTTTATGTAGGCAATGCTTTCAAGTTTGTTTTTCTTATCAGGTAACATCAGACAGAATCACTTATATTGTAATCTCTGCAATTCTAATCCACGTTTATCTTTAATTGTACTTAGTGACTGCTAACAAAAGTAAAATCTAGAAGTGAAGGTAGTAATTGTTCTTGTGAAACTTCAGTTCCTTTTGGGACAGTGTAAATTATGTAAAGTGGTCTTTACTAGTACAAATTATTTCATTTAAATAAGAAAAATCCAACTATACATAGGTTGTTTATAAAACAAAACCATTCTACAAAATTGTCATGCCATGCGCATATGTGTTAAATTTTGTTACATTTGGTGTCAGGAGACCTGCGAGTCTCAACCACTTTTGCACCCTCAGAGATCTGCGCATCTCAAGACCTCAAACGAGATTCTAACTGATTGAAACCTGCGTGTTTCGCACTGCTCATAACCTCACTGCGAATTGTTCACCTCGCAAACACTTTAATAAAACGATATTTAAAAAAAAAAAAAAAAAATTTTTGTTACATTTGAATCCTCTTGAATAGATATGTGAATTATAGTAATTTAGCCATTTTTCAACTGCTGTATTAGCAAATAAAATAAATAAATAATAGAGCATATTTTTTTTAACAATGCTTACTGATTTCTACTGGTAATATTTGGATTTTTGAACCATTTTTTTTTTTTTTTTACAGTAATTCTCTACACTCAAAATAAATTTGTAATCTCTTCTGAATCAGTAAGTATATATGTTTTATATTGCTATATTTCATGTAACGTTTCATTGTGGGTCACTTTATTCCACTATTGTACAGTGCTCTTGTAAATACAATTTAAGAAAATAAAAATGATACAATAACCAACAGTGCCTTTTCTGTGTGATTATTAATGTTTGATAGCCAAAATAACTTTCTACGTTTTCTATACTTAGACCTTGATATAATTTGTTTAAATATTCAGAGATATAATTTTTTATTTGTGCGGTAACAGCTTCTTGACCAAGGAGATATCTGACTGCCATTCTGGGGATGAGAAGAGTTTTTTTTTTTTTTTTTTTTTTTTTTTTTTTTTTTTTTTTTTTTTTTTTTTTTTTTAGTCTGTTGCAAAATTGAAAAGTGCTTCAGACTGGGTTTTTGGATGTGTGAGAGGCTGAACTTGATGGCTGCACAGCTATTTTCAGCTATGTAAGTAAATCAGCATCCAAAGTGATTCCAATCTGGTAATAAAAACATTTTTTACTAAATTTCCATAGACTTTAAAGGAACACTATAGTGTCAGGAACACAAACATGTATTCCTGACCCTATAGTGCTAAAACCACCATTTAGGTGATTGAATCAATGCATCTCTATGAGGAAAGTGCAAGCGTGGAGGCGCTGAACAGCAGTGCTGGACACTTTGCAGCACTGCCCCAGCACTGCCTGGCTATCTGAGGAGTGGCCACTGCAGGGGTGCCTAGGGGGCAACGTAAACACTGCCTTTTCTCTGAAAAGCCAGTGTTTGCATGGAAAAGCCTGCAGGGAATGATTATACTCACCAGAACAACTACATTAAGTTGTAATTGTTCTGGTAACTATAGTGTTCCTTTAGTGATGACTACTGCAGATAAATAATTTTTATTTTATTTCTCCCCCCCCAACAGATTGTAATAATTTCTGATGCTTATTCAAACCAATTTGATCAAGGCTTTGATTTGATTTTTTATTTTTTTTCATAGGATCTCAGAATATTTGGTTCGCATGAATGATTACAGTTCTCAACAGCAATAAAACTGACAGTAAATCATCATGCATCAAATAAACTCACTGTAATATGCAATGTATGGATATGAGCTCCACAGAAACAAACATTACAAAAATGTGCTATGTGTACGAGTGCGTCAAATATCTCCACGTAAACAACATGCATAATAATACATGCTTATTTTACAGTAAATACGTTGACACATCTGTCCGTCTGCTTGGCCTGTTGAATTTATATTGGTTATCTTCCAAATGGTTTGCACAGTTTTGTATAAAATAGCTGTCACTGCGTGATAAATTCATTAAAAAAAACAAAACAAAAAACTTTTGTCATGTGACTATCAATAACCCCAAGAGAAAAGTGTTTCTCTTTTATACTATTTGAAATATTAGTAGATATTTTTGTACCAAGTTTAAAATGTACTCAAGTTTCCTGAGTATTACAGCCTAATCAAAAAAACAATAACCCATTACTGGTTTATTTTCTGAGCTGAGAATTGTAGGCAGTTAACCAGTGATTCTCAACATTTAGGTCAAAGCAGACAAGCTGAAAACATTCCCAACTCTATTTTTCCGGCTCAGCTATTTTGCCTGACATTTTAAGTTCCCATGTCAATACCTAACTATTCCTGATTTAACAAGTAACTGAAAATGCTAAGCCATATCAAATCCATTTGCTATTTTTTATATAGGGGTGTTGTGTACACATGGGTACAATTTCTGTCCAAATATTAAAAACACATTTCCACTTTCCACCAGTAAGGGTAATTTCCATACAAAGATCTAACATCTGCCTGTCTACAAATTATTTGGTAAGATAGTTGAAATCTGCAAAAAACAAGTGGTAAATGGCAATGTAAAAAATGTTCCCTTTTTGATTGTGAAACATGCAACAATTGGCAATTTTGACTGCCATAGAAATTTAAAAGAAATCCATAGCTTACATTCAGAGTAGCTGAATTAAAGCACAGCTGACTAAATATTTGTTCCAGTTTGGCTATTTTGACCTTAAATTTGACACACACACACCCACTATAGTTTTCCCACAAAGTTATATAAGGATTCTTGCCTATTTTACAAAGGAAGGTAACACAGAAATCCATTAAAAAGACAGTCCACTGTCGAAATACATACATCATTGTTTGAGGAATATATCCCAATGAAAACCTGCATTTAATTATAGATTTTTTTTCATTGAAAGTATATATCTAGAAACAGTTTGCAAAAGCTGCAAAACTCTAGTCTGAAATCTTCCCAAGCCATCACTTTCTTTCCTAGGCAAACTTCTGTGTCTGTCCAATTTCGGTGTCTGTCCAATTGCTCTAGGCAATTGCTGCCTCTTGAGTTTAGCTCCACTGAGCTAAACAACAACAAGCTGGTTGTCTGATTGAAAGTCATGTGGCTGTATCAAGGTTAAGCTATGAAAGAAACAATTGAAATCAGCACGTTTTGCAAAATGAAAATAGAGGGCACACTCCACACATAAAGGGGTATGGAGTATCCATTTAAACTCCAACTTTTTACTTTTTTTTGCAAATTCAATATTTTTACCTGAAACTTGAAATTCTTTTGTCAAATCTCAACATTGTCTGGGTTGCTGCATAAAAATCCTGAAATTAAAACCTAAATTAATTTTAAATAGATTTTCAAGAGAAACATAATTTACTTGTATATTTACAAAATGTGCACAAATGCAGAACAACATTTCAGTAAATTCACAAATTCCACCCAGATTTGCATACATACTTTAAGAATAAAGTAACATTTGCGTACAGCATACATACTTTAAGAAAGACGACCAAGAGGAAAACCGGTATTTATGCACAGCCAATTGGCAAACTATTTTCTTTCTTTAAATTGCTGATCCTTCTTTTAAATCTGTATTTATACACTACGCAAAGCTGTCAGTGCACTTCTTGCAATACAATTTAACTCCAGAATGCAAATGGCGCTGCACACTATAGCCTGCGAACGTGTTAGCATGGTATCTTATTTGGGGTGTCAGCGCATGGACAGCATTGTAAAAAATAAATCAATCATATAAGTCCTTTAGGGGTAAGCAAGCTTCGTACTCTGCTTTTCTCTCCTGTTCACTGCCGTAAATGCCATTTACTCGGTTTAATGAAAACTGAGCAGTAACCAATTCCAAGCATCACAGTTCCAGATTATCATTACTCATTTTATTCAATGTTTTATTCATTTGGGCCATTGAATAAAACATTGAAAGGCGCCTTTTTTTTTCCATGTTAAACTCCATTTAGTTTTGTTTTTTTAATGTATGTTAAATATTTAGCAGTTAACATCACAGTCTGGTTTTGGCCTGGCACAGTAAGACATTGGGGGAGGAAGAAATCGTTATTCACTAAAGTGAGAATTCAAAGAGAATTTCAAACTTAAGGCCAAAGTAGCCAAACCAGAAAAAGTTATGGTTTTCTTTTTTCCTTTCAGCTACTCTGGCCTTAAATTTTAAATTCGCTTTGAATTCTCACTTTAGTAAATAACCCAGTTGGTGTTATGTATAAAAAGTGTTCTGTACTGAAAAGTGTTGCAAAGTACTAACATTTGGACAATCACCATGGGAACCAGTGGAAACAGCAGGCACGTTCCTTTGGTGACTCCTCCCCTATTACATCTGCACCACCTTTTCTGAATGAGACAAATGTTTAACAAGGGATGCATGTCCCTTTAATTGAGAACTGTTGAATTTCCTATATTCTGGTATTGTGTGCAATGGCATTTTAGAGCCAATACAGTTTTTTTCTTTTTATTAATATCACATGCTTGAAAGAGTCAGTGATAGTTTTGACTGAAAATGTTGATTTAGTTATAGTTGTTTGCTGAAAATGTCATTAATTTTTGCACAATCGATTTATTGTTGTTATTATAATAGTGAAAACATGGTTTTGACAAAAACTTATGAAGAACATTTTTCGTTGGCAAAATGAACGCTGGTGTGTAGGGCTGCCCTCTGGCGAAGTCTGTCAGCCAGTCATACTTGTCACTTACTAGCTATATAAGTTTTGTTCAACTTTTGTGTCCAGTATCAGCTTGAATAGCATGTTAACACTAGATGCATTGGGTAGGCTGGCTGTGAATGGGTGATTTAGACACAGTCAAGGTTTATTTACTAAAGTGAAAATGCTAAGTAAATTTCAAATTTAAGGCCAAACTAACAGAATTAAAAAAAAAATCTGTCAGACTTGCTTCTAGTTCAGCTACTTGGCCTAAAATGTTCAAAATTATTTTAATTCTAACATTAGGTTTTGGTGTTTGACCTTTTCTCTTCCTAGATGCAGAGATCAGAGGAAACAAAAACACTAGCTACACTTTAGAAATTTATAACCCATCAATTTGAGGGTAACAAGTTGCAAGTCCTTTCTGGACTACATCTCCTATTACACTCAATGATAGTCTGCCTAGTGGGAGTTAAAAATTGCATCTCGTGTTATGTTTATAGCGAGGCAACTACTTTTTAAATGGTTTATGTGGAATATAACATTAATCATCCTCAGCAAGTGGTTGGAATATAACATTAATCATCCTCAGCTATGGGGTGACCCATGCACTTAGGGCCACCCAATGGGCATGTGTCAACAGAGGCTCGGTTGTGCGCTGTGGTAGCAGCGTGGCCTGGCCCCTTTCTTATCGACAGCCAGTGCAGAGAGGAAGTAAGAGACAGAAACGTAATTTCAGCTGGAGACACTTAGCTGCACGGGAGGGAGAAAGCAGAGAGGTTGGGGTATGACCTGGGAGTGCCAGACCATGATCCAACATCCCCCGCCAGGAGAAGTCATCCTCCTGCACCCAAAAGGGAAGAGTCAAAAGAGTGGCTAATAAAAATGGCCAGTGTTTGTGTGTATGTGTAGCAGTGTCTGTCTGCATATTTGCATTTGTGTCATGGTGTTTGTCTGGGTATCTGCATGAGTGTCTGCATGTGTATTATTGTATGTATCTGTGTTTCAGTGTGTGGATCTGTGTCTGCATGTGCATCAGTGTTTGTAACGGTATATTTGCCTGTGTGTGTCAGTGTATATGTACATGCATCTCAGCATTCAAATGCACACACTACACACATACACTCCTGCATTCAATTTCCCACACTACACACAAATGAACCCCTGCATTCAAACATTAAGACTTCATTCAAACATACCTCTGTATTAAAGCACCATCATTATAAATAAACTTACCCCTGCATTTAAAAAACACTACACAAAAATTCACATCTGCATTCAAACGCCAACATTCACACACATGTACTCCACACAAGAACATGCTTACATTCAAACACACAAAGTCTGCTCAAATACAGTGCTAAATACAGCTCTGCACTAGTGGGCAAATGGTAGATCCCCAGTTGGCAAAGCATTGTGAGACTTGTACGACAGATGGGAATCTACCTTTTTGCCACCCTTGCGATACAGCAAATTTTTGCACCAGGTCCCTCTAGTGCCGCCACTGTGCTTGACGAGTCTGGTAAGTATTTTATTAGACAAAAGCGTTCTATAGAATATCACCATTTTAATTAACTGGAGTCCTTTTAATGATCCACTCCTGTGTGTAACATCCACATCTAACTCATATTCACTAAGTAGTATTTTAACATGCTGATCAGTAATTTGATGCCATTGGGGGCTGCAAAGTCTTGGAAAAAATCTGGGACAGGCACAGTACTTGATCTCTGTCTGTTAGCTGACTTCTAATATTTGCTTAACCCTCTCTGAGTGTGCATGATGAGAGTTGTAACATAGCGTAGCATCTATCATTCAAAGTATTACCAGCCTTAGGTCATTGTCACTAATGAACTATGGATATTGCAATAAAGTAAGTACAATAAACACACATCTGCCAGTTCTATGAAATTGCTCTTTCAATAGGAAGTAATGATCTCCTCCTAGTGGCAAAACAAGTAAACTGCATGCCTGCTATTTTTTTTTTTTTTTTTTTAACTAGTGCTATAAAAATGACTATGGACTGATAGTAAAATGTTCCCCCACGTGGCAGAAGAAGTAAACTACAATTCACTGATCCTAAGATGAGTTTTACAAATGTATAGGAATGCAACTAATAATTATATTTATAATCAACCAATATTTGTTCATTAATCAGATTCTAAAAATGTCTATCATTTTTTTGTATATTTAAAATAAAATTCACAAGCTGAGTGCTACATATATAAACTTCAGAATAAAACTTTACAGTATCACAATTGTTTGTCCAATTTTTAAGCAAAACTAATTATCTTTGAAAAAACTTTACATTAAAAAGCCCTCATGCTCCTGGCTGTGGCTGGCTCTCCTGTTGCAAGCTATGTTGCCTACAGCAGAGAGGTGCTCCGATGGTGTTGAGGTGCCTGAGATGGATAAGTAGGATTTTGCCAATTTTTTATTAATAAAACAAACAAACAACTAAATAAAGCAATGAAAGGAGACAGGAGTAAGCACACAGCAGGCCTCTTTGCTTGAAATGTCTTTTAAACCTTTACAGTACACTAAGCCCATGTAAGCCCTGGTTTTCAATTCAAATAGTGTTTGACATATTATGACCATTGCAGAACGTGTAGCACCAGGTGCTACTTTGTTGCATTGTCTCCGGGGATTCTCCCATATATATTTAGTATGGAAAACAGTGCACAAATTAGCAAACTCTGTTCTTGAGTAAAGATTTCCCCTCACTGCCCAATCGGAATTTTTTGGAATGTTGGAGAATGAAACAAATGGTACTTAACGGTGTGCTAATGCTAATGGCTGTGCTATAAGGCCTTACTGTTTAAATGTATGCAGGGGTGAACAGGGCCCTCAGGCAATATAACATCAAGGGTCGTCCCTCATGGTGCAAGATTTATTGGCTACTACTATTCTCCCCCCTCTTTGTGCGGCTCTCACACAGTTATTATGTGCACTCTACCCAGTCATGACTCGTTTTACTTTTAACACCTCAGTGACCAGACCGTTTTTTCATTTTCTTACCGTTCAGGACCAGGGCTGTTTTTAGATTTCAGCAGTGTTTGTGTTTAGCTGTAATTTTACTCTTACTCATTTACTGTACCCACACATATTATATACAGTTTTTCTCGCCATTAAATGGTCTTTCTAAAGATCTCATTATTTTCATCAGATAATTTACTATAATTTTTTTTTATAAAAGATGAAACTTTTTAAAAAATCACACTTTTTCTAACTTTACCCCCAAAATCTCTTGCGCATCTACAACCACCAAAAAACACCTCTGCTAAATAGTTTCTAAATTTTGTCCTAAATTTAGAAATACCCAATGTGAGCATGATCTTAGCTTTTTTTTTGCAAGTTATAGGACTATAAGTACAAGTACTTTGCTATTTCCAAACCATTTTTTTTTCTTCTAAATTAACGAAAGTTACATTGTAACACTGATCTCTGTCAGGAATCCCTGAATAACCCTTCACATGTATATATTCTTTAAACAAGACAACCTAAGGTATTAAACGTGGGGTATTTTGACTCTTTTCATGCAACCATTTTACCACCAAACGGAGAACTTTAAGGGTTACTGCCAAAGATACCAAACAAGTAAATGAGGTAAGTTATAATGTGTAAGTGATACAACGTCTCAGAAAGTGGAGAGTCACCTTCATGCTTTAATATCTTATTGCCTATGTGGTTCACCAATTGGACATATTAGACTGATTTCATTAAAGGATCACTATAGTGTCAGGAAAACAAAGCGATTTTCCTGACACTATAGTGCCCTAAGGGTGCCCCCACCCTCATGGTCCCCCTCCCTTGGCGCTGAAGGGGTTAAAACCCCTTCAGCTACTTACCGTAATCCAGCGTCGGGCTCCCTTGGCGCTGGTGACCTCTCCTCCCCCACCGATGTCAGCTCCCGAGTGGAGCAGAATGCGCAAGCGCGGCAATGCTTTCCTATAGACAGTCTGCACGCTGGATGCGAATTTCGCATCCAGCTTCGCAGATGCGCCTCAAGCGGCTGTCAGGAAGACAGCCACTAGAGTTTGGCTTAAACCTGCTATGTAAACGTAGCAGTTTCTCTGAAACTGCTATGTTTACATCTGAGGGGTTAAAACCTGAGGGACCTGGCACCCAGACCACTTCATTGAGCTGAAGTGGTCTGGGAGACTATAGTGTCCCTTTAAATCTCCTCTTTATAGCCATAGCACAGGGAGGGGGTAAAATAACTGCCTGGATACTAGATATAAGGTTTAGCTAGTAGAGGTGAGTATCTCTGTCATGATATGGGTAAGAATTCAAGAAATGATTGTATGTTTGTAGGTAATAGTATTAACTTAGTATTTCAGTAGTGCTATTGCCATCTAGCAAAATAATAACTGGATGTAAAAAATAAGATCCATCCAGAGGGAGGTAACACAATTAAAGAGATAGAGAAAGGAGAAAAGAACACCTCGGCTGTAAGTGAGAATCACTGCCAGCCTACTATACCAGCCTTTCTCCATTAAAATCTGGCTAAAAGAGGGGACAGGACACAGTACAAAAAGGAATATTAAAGTGAGCAGTGCATAATTTGCAACAAAGTGTCAAGGTGAGTGCCAGGCAGTAAGCGTCTGACACGCATTTCAAACATTCTCAAGAAATGAGTGTCTTTTTAGGGAGGCTATCTGTGGATCACCCCACCAGACCCAGGACACGAAGCAGGTTCAGACCCAATTAGAAAAGTCACATGGTCAATATCTCTGCACGCCAGATTCCTAATAAGGGTTTATCCTTTGTCCCAGTTCTTAACTTTGACAAATTTTGGTGGAAGAAGGATATTCACCTGTTTGTAAGAATACTAGGTCTGCTTAAATAATATTGCATGAGAGACAAGACAGCCAGTGCACTAGGGATGGACACTAATGATTTCACACACTGTTAGATCTTTTAGAGAGCAATGAGATATCAGATTCCTTCCAATGCCCTTTCACCAGTGTGAAAAAAAAGCGTGAATTCACCCGCATTTGGCAGACTTTAAGTATATAGACTTCTTTGTCGAGATGATTTGCAGAGACATTAGCAATATAGTGATCGATGTAAAACAGAAATAGTATACAATAGGTGGCAGCGGTGAATCAACAAGGATTCCCAAAACTTTGTACAAAGATACAGTATATGTCACAATATGTCACAATATGGCTTATTCTCAGTCTAGTGCAGTACCTCACAGTTCCACTACCTATCTGTGGTGCTATTCTAGGCTGCTGCATCCAGACTGAGATCTCTCTATGTTCCCAGCTTGCCTTACTTTGTGATTAACTTCTCCCTATTTAGTAGAGCCTCAACATTTCTTGTTTGCCAGTTCGTTAATGTTAATGTTATTGGTCTGGTCCTTTTATTCTGAGTTCCTGTGCTAGCTAGCTGGCTGTCCCCCTGGGTTCCCTGTATCCAGAGACCTTTTCCTGTGTCCCTGTATCCAGAGGCCCTTTTGCGACTCAGTTATCTGTGTTTGTATTTTATTTAACTGCCTTCCCTAAAAATCAATACACTTTTTGTTTTGCCTTCATTTGTGTGTATATTGGTTTCTTTGCATTCTGGGTTCTACCCTATAGAGGTTGCTGCACTGGTCAGCACCCTTTCCCGACCAAACCCCCGACAGAATGAACTGGCCATTAAATATGGAACCTGCAAGGAAATATCCTATACACACAATGACCTGTTCCTCTGATAAAAATAATTCTGACTTACAATATGAATGTACTAAACTTAAATTTGCCAAAAAATTTAAAATGCAAGAAATTGTTTCAAGTATGCCTAAAACTTGCTAAATACCTAAGCCTTTATTTAAGTTTGTCTTGACAAGCTCCCGAAGAAGTCGCCTAAGACGAAACGCATCGAGCTGAGCAGAGGAAAGGCGAAGTGGACAACCGAATCCAGAGGTCCAACAGTAGCAGTGGAGTTCTGGTTTTTGGGCCCAAAAGAACATTTTATTTTGTGGACTAAGCTGCATCTAGAGGACTGGGTGAAACTTTTTACCATTTGGCAGCATGCGTTTTTGCGCACCAATTTTATGTATATTTTAACACTAGTTTATTTTCATTCAAGCTGTTAATTATAACTGTACATAGGTGATTGTGGTGCTCTGGTTCCCTTGTATCTCTTTTCTGTATTTTTTAAGGTTGGGGAGTGACTTTTTTTTACTCAGAAGTTATCGGCACTTTAACCTCCACTCACTAATTTTCTGCATATATGTTGTTCTACCTATCCTTTCATTCCTGATTCAGCTGTAGTATGCTGAATTCATACCTACATTTCCGGAGCCTGAAGCCAAGAGGAGCATACCCAGCAACTATTGTAAAGCACTGCGGATTGAGCTGGCGCTATATAAATACCAATAACAATAATAATAACCTATGCCTGAGGTCATACTTGCCCTTTCAGATGAGAAAACCTCTCTTTTCCCTGAACATATTATCCTGTCTGTCTCTGCATTCCCTGAGCCTGAAGCAAAGATGAATATATCCAGCACCTCTGTGCAAAATATCTCCTAGGCTCTACCTCTCCATTCTGATCATGAAACATGTCTTGTTTCTGGGCATGTTATCTTACCTGTCCTCTCATTACCGAAGTCTGAAACCAAAGTGGGTACATACACATTCTCTGTGCTACCCATCCCTGATGTCCTATATGTCCCTTCTTCCTGTGAAAAAGTGCCTTTTACTGAAAATGTTGCACTCGCTATACTTGCATTCCTAATTCTGCTGTGGTATGAAGAAGTTCTGCCTAAAGTAACAACTGATACCAGTCCCAAATTGAGAATCTATGCCCCCATACCAAACACAACCCATAAAGTGTGCTTGTTTCTGAAGAGACATTCTTGAGAACATTTGTCAATGCTCCTGTATCTCAACTACCATTTAAAGGTTCACACATTCCAGTATCCAAGTGAGACCCAGGATTAACGTGCATGTTAACTTTTCCCAATAGCTGCCCAATGCCATTAGAAAAACTGCTTGACTCCTGACCAAACCCCTGACCAAACCACGCCTGCTGGTGATAATCAGTGATATGTAATGCAAATACAAGTATACATACTTTGGTTTTTCAACATATAACATCCAATAAAAGATCTTCAAGAAAAAAACACAAATAGAACAGATAATAGTGCAATATGTTGTTACAAGTGTGTATCCCAAATAAATATTTGAGTACTAACTCACACTTTTCTGAGCTTTTTAGAGCTCTGCTGTTTATTGTTTGGTTCGTACAATCTCCATCTCAGGATTTGTGAAGATACTCTGGATCAGAGGCGTAACTAGAAACCACGGGGCCCCGATGGGAAAATTTACCCCTCATACATCTCACTCCACCCCCACCTTCTCCATGTGTCACACTCATGCTCCTTAATGTGTCTCATTCATACAAACACACACTGACATACATACAAATACACACCATATAGCGCATACAGATATATAAATGGACACACATGCAGATACACAGACATACAGATAAATGCAGACACACAAACTAACACAAAGACACATATATACACATGCAAATACACAGACACACAGAATTACACACTTTGAGATACACAGAATGACACAAATACAGACACACACTGACACACATGCGGATGCATAGACATACAGACAGATACACAAACACTCAAGGACAGTAATTCAAATACACAGAATGACACTCATACAGCTAGAAACAGGGACACACATACAGATACACAGGGTATACACTGACATACAGATACGCAGACATACAGATACACATGCAGACACATACACACACATACATACAGAGACAAACACATACAGAGACACACATATAAATACATACAGAGACACGAACATACATTAAGACGCACAAACACACACACATGCAAAATGTTTTAGTCACCCTCCTGTTTCCTACCTTTTAGGTGCAGGAGGGTGACTTCCCTGGGGTCCAGTGGCTCAGGCTGATGGAAGTCAGAGTTCCCACTCTGACTCCCTCCTCTCTTCCTTCCGCACGGGCTTTGTATAGGCTGGGAGGAGTGACCAGCATCTGACATCATCGCAGGGGGCCTGGTCGCGCTGTTAAAGCACCGCAGCGCTGACCGTACCCCCTGGAAATACATAGCGTCGGGTGGCACTAACAGCATGGGCCAACCAATGGGACCCAGAACCTGCATTTTTACACATGGCCGGCGGACACCCACGGTCGCAGGGGTCCACAGGGTGGCCAGGTCCCCTGCAGTGACGGGCCTGGTCACTGACTGTCACAGCATATTATACACATAGTTTGGTATTATATAGAGAGTAGCACTATACATGGAGCACTGACTGTTCCGAGATATTATACACACAGATCTATATTATAGAGGGAGCAGCACTATACAGGGAGCACTGACTGTCCTGGGATATTATACACACAGTTTGGTATTATACAGAGAGCAGCACTATACAGGGAGCACTGACTGTCCTGAGATATTATACACACAGATCTGTATTATACAGAGAGCAGCACTATACAGGGAGCATGGACTGTCCTGGGATATTATAAACACAGATCTGTATTATACAGAGAGCAGCACTATACAGGGAGCACGGACTGTCCTGGGATATTATACACATACTTGCACTATACAGAGAGCAGCACTATACAGGGAGTACTGACTGTCCTGTGATATTATACAGACAGACCTGCATTATACAGAGAGCAGCACTATACAGGGAGCACGGACTGTCCCGGGATATTATGCACATATTTGTACTATACAGAGAGCAGCACTAAACAGGGAGTACTGACTGCCCCAGGATATTATACACACAATTTGGTATTATACAGAGAGCAGCACTATACAGGGAGCACTGACTGTCCCGGGATATTATACACACATATCTGTATTATACAGAGAGCAGGACTACAAGAGGGCACTGACTATCCTGGGATAATATACAAATTGACCTGTATTATATAGAGAGCAACACTATACAGGAAGCACTGACTGTCCCAAGATATTATACAAAGACCTGTAGTATACATAGAGCTCACTGATACACAGGCTCAAAGACAGACACGTTCACTGACACACACAATTAGGCTCGCTGACAGACAAAACTCTGACACACACAAGCTTATTACAGACAAACTCGCTCGTATTGACACACAAGGCTCAGTACATACAAGCTTAGTGACACACATAAGCTTTCTACAGGGAAGCTCACTGACACACACAAGCTCACTAAATACAAGCTTACTGACACACAAGCTCACTATAGACAAGCTCATTGACACACACAAGTTCATTACAGACAAGCTCACTGACACACACGCTCATTACAGACAAGTTCACTGACACACTAGCTCACTACAGACAAGTTCACGGACACACTAGCTCACTATAGACAAGCTCACTGACACACACACACACACACAATCTAACTAAATACAAGCTCACTGACACACACAAGCTTACTACAGACAAGCTCAGGGACACACACAAGCAGTGCCATCTTAACAGTGTTAAGTGCAAAGCCGTGCACTAAGGCCCTTCCTACACAACAACTCACAGAAATAAAAATGTTAATTATCGATAATTATCGATAAATTTAAGCTTATATTTATTGGTACCTCCAATCAGTGCCGCCACCAGAAATTTTGGGGCCCCTAACTCAGCTCAGGGTCTGGGCCCCCTGGGGCCTGCCTCCAAATACCGCCCACGGGGTCCGCCTCCAAATACCGCCCAGAGGAACACACATACAGACACAAACACACACACTGATACAAAAGGACACAGATACATACTAACAGACACACATACTGAAACAGACATACACACATGCAGGCATACATACTGACACACACATACTGAGACATACACACATATACAGACACATACTAACATACAGACACATGCATGAGGACATAAAGACACATACATACAGACATCGACATACATACACACATACTGACAGACATACATTCATAATGGCATACAGACAGACAGACA